GCCGCCCTCGGCGGGGAGCCCCCGGCTGGACGAGGCCCCGTCCGCGGCGCTGGGGCCGAGCGGGGCCGGGGAGGGCGGTGGTGGCCGCGCTGTCGGGGCGGAGGGGGCTCCCGCCGCCACCCCCCGGCCTTGCACCCCCTCCAGCCGGGGCCCGGGGTCTCCCTGGGCTTCCCCGGGTGCCAGATGTGGCCGCCGGGATGCGAACGGGTGCCCGGAGCCCTGGATGTGTCTGGAGGATGGAGCCYATGGGATACTTGTGAAGGAGGCTCCCTCTGTTTCTGGTCCCCATCAGCTGCTCAACGTGTTCCTGGGGTAGTTTGCCACTAAACCATTGCTTTTAAGYGATGGTTTGCATGGAGCAGCTTCACAGAATTTTGAAAGGATTGTGAAAACTTTGGAGCTGATGCATCAGAGAGTCAGTAAATGTATTCTTTTCCTATAAAGCTAGCTCATTCCCAGTATCACCTCATGATTATTTTTAAGTAAAAGATGAAGCGATGAAAGCATGTACTGAGCTGTGTAGAACAGAGTCCCAACAGCTTTCAGCAGGGGCCAAACATCACTGCCCTGTAGTGGTTGTGTTGTGTTCTCAGTGAACTGTTCACTTCAAGCTAGTTTCTTTGGTAGAAGTAAAATAATTATAGTGGATGTGTTCTACAGGCTCAGAAAGATCCTGTGTCTTAYCTGTTTCTAGCCTGAGCAGGAAAGAGAACTTTTTTTTTTTCTGGTGCTCTTAGTGTTTCTACCTTTCCATGTAAAATCTTAGCAGAATTAGGCCCTACATTAACTAACCCATGGGAAACTACTGGCAGGAAAGTACAGAAAATAGCTGAGAGCACAAGAATTGGCTGGTGGGCTGTAGTTCCTGTGCTACCGCCCTGCYGCCCTTGATGCTCAGGCTGTGTTGAACCAGCACAACCTGGGGCTTCAGTTTTGCTGTGACCACCTCCCCTTTGCAGCGGGTGCGTGAGCCACTGCGTGTTTGCTTGTTCTGTCTGTCTGCCTCACGAGTTCTTGCTGTTTGATGACCCCTTTGCAGCTGGAGGTGTTGTTGTGGAAGACCAGCCCGATGTGAGCGCAGTGTTGTCTGCCTACAATCAGCAGGGGGACCCCACGCTGTACGAGGAATACTACAGTGGATTAAAACACTTCATCGAGTGCTCCCTGGACTGTCATCGAGCTGAGCTCTCCCAGCTGTTCTATCCCCTCTTTGTGCACATGTATTTGGAACTGGTTTACAATCAACACGAGAGTGAAGCAAAGTCTTTCTTTGAAAGGTAAGTTATTTATTTATTAGGTAGGTTTTTTTTGTTACTTTCTTAGATTAAATCTATAAACGGTAGTAGACTAGGTCTGTATATCAATGAATGTGTTATTTTCCTTCTCTAATTGCAARGCAATTTGGCTGAACTAGCAGTAGCATGAATTTCTGTAACGGTTCTTAAATTCTTTTTCATTCTTAYGATTCGAGTAAAATGGAAAACTTATTTTCTCAACTCATGTTGACTTTTAGAAATTACAAATAGAGAGTAGGAAGCTCTATGTTCATTGTAGAATATGCATTTTCATGGAAAGATTCAACTTTAAATACAAACAGCCCCCCAAAAAACCCAATATGCCTTGTAGTCTATGATACTGCAAATTAGGGTTTCTGTAAATAAGCACGTTAGTGTAAATGTTCATTGCAGGTGGTAACACTTGTTTTCCTATTCTTGTTTTTTAGCTGCTGTTGGGTGCTTTTTGTTTATACAAAATCAGCAGCATTTTCAGCAGCATTTTCTTAGTAGCTTCCAAAAACTCTTTTAAATATTTAATGTAATGCATTCATTTAGGAGGTGATGTTTTCATAATAAACACTTTATTCTATCTTAAATTGTTACAATAGATTTCATGGGGATCAGGAGTGTTATTACCAGGATGACCTGCGCGTATTATCAAGCTTAACCAAAAAAGAACATATGAAAGGTAACGAGACCATGCTGGATTTCCGAACAAGCAAGTTTGTGCTGCGCATTTCCCGTGACTCTTACCAGCTCCTGAAGAGACATCTTCAGGAGAAGCAGAACAATCAGATCTGGAACATAGTTCAGGAGCATCTCTACATTGATATCTTCGACGGAATGCCTCGCAGTAAGCAGCAGATAGATGCTATGGTTGGAAGCCTGGCTGGGGAGGCAAAGCGAGAGGCCAATAAAGCAAAGGTAGGACGCAGTGGTTGTTGCACTCTTATTATTGAGCAATTTTGGAGCGTCAGGGAGACATTTTTTGCTTTGCTATAGACTGCCACTTGCTACTGGAGATTGTAATGGACAGCGTGAATGAAGAGAAGGAAGCAATTAGGTGCTGACAGGAGTAGAGAGAGGTACCACTAGCTGGTCTCTGAAGAACCCATTAAACCCCATCGAGACATGGTTCAGCTTATGCTCAATATGTAAGCTGTAGGAGCTGCAGGAATCCTGCTTTAAGAATGTGATAAGAGATGGTGGGAGAAATTGCAATTTTTCAGATGTTTCTGCTGCTTTAACTAACAAACCATATACATCATCAGGTTGCTACAGGGTAGCCAGTAATGTATACAGTACGTCTGCTCTGTGTGAATAAAAATGTGTGTATAAGAAGAAATGTCTTCATTGGTTGGATGTTGTCATAATAATTAGGAGCTCTTTTATTTTACAATCTTGCATTATTATGTTGAAGAGTTTCCATTTCAAAAAAAGCTTTTYTGTAGGACAGCAAATATTGCTTTGACTCATGTCTGTTATATGGTATTGCAGGTTTTCTTTGGTTTACTTAAAGAACCAGAGTTTGATGTGCCTTTGGATGATGAAGATGAAGAAGGGGAAAAYGAAGAGGGAAAACCAAAGAAGAAAAAACCTAAAAAAGAGAGTGCAGGATCTAAAAGCAAAAAGCAAGACCCTAATGCTCCTCCCCAAAACAGGTAACAAAGAAACTAATCATGGAGCGGGCTTACTAAATCTAGTTCAGTTATACCAAATCTGTAATATGGCTATATTTAGTATTATATGTATTTTATTTATATATAGTATTTATTTGTTTGGCTCTTTGGCTGTTCCAGCTGTARCCGTAAGCTGTTAAAATTTACATCAGTTACCTTCTAGCATTTCTAGCCTTGATTGTTGTATTCTTCATTGCTTGTCTGGAAACTTCTCAAGGAAAACTTCTCTGGAAATGAATTTTCTCAAGGAACTATTGGCTGTCCATTTACTTTTCCATCAGTTAATGTTTTACATATTCTTTCAACTCTTCAATTCTTGTTTTGTGTTTGAATATTGAGCTATTGAGGTGTCTGTACTTAAACTGACAAAATGGAAAGTGCTTTTAATTTATGAAATGTGCACTGCTTGTAGAATTCCTCTACCCGAACTGAAAGACTCTGACAAATTAGATAAAATAATGAATGTGAAGGAGGCCGCAAGACGTGTGCGTCTTGGCCCYGACTGCCTGCCCTCCATCTGTTTCTACACGTTCCTTAATGCTTATCAGGTTAGTAAAAGAAGGCCTTGGGTAATATGGAAGAGGGAATCAAAGTGGGAAATGCTACTCAATATAACAGAAGGAAATTCTGATGTGGATCATTCTTTTACGTTTGTAGACTGAGATAACTAGCTTGACCATTATATAGTGATTCTGCTCTAAGATTTTCTTGGTGAATAATTAGGTTATAAGTTTGTAACTTAAATACTGGGACAGCGTAGTACATGGAGTAAAACTGGCTCAGGGCATAAGCAAGCCTGGCAGTGACTTAAATTAGCAGAGTGCTAATTAGAGACAAAACATCCATGGCCCTAGTACCTCGTTGTAGAGTTAAATATTGGAAAGCAAAGCTGGCAGCTTTTCTTACCACTCCAGGAAAAAGCTGCTGGGAGGAAGTTGTCTAGGAGAAACAGTCATTTCCCACAGCCTGGTTGTTCTCCRTCATCAACAGCAAATTGTAGGTAACAGCTCCTCTGCTTCCTGTGCCAGGAGAAGCCAGACTCTGGCCCCTAATACTCARGATAGCAAAACCTGATATTTACCCACCCTTTTTAGAAATTTTGTGCTATTTATATCACTAGTTTCTCCTCCCCTTTTCTTCCCCCTCTTTATGGTAGAATTAGCAAGGCTTACTAGAGTGTGGGAGTGTATTTGGAATGACCATCCCAACTCTTTCAAATAATATTTAAAGTCTTTCATAAAGTTTTAATTTCTGTAGTTTTGTTCTGGTTTTACTGTATTTTTTTTTTCACTTTTCCTGTAGGGTTCTAAGTGTATTTTGTAGAATACACTTGAATGCAGTAGGTAATTTACCCTTGAATACTGGAAAACATTACTGTCAAATTGTTATTAACCAGGTTCTGTTCCTTGTGTGGTTTTTTTTTTTCTGTATGGCATAAGGATGCACGTGTGTTCATTTAAATGGCATGTATACTTTTGTCCAGCCTTTTTTAGATTTATTTATTTTGCATATCAGTCTAGTTTTCTTACTAGTATTTAGGATTTTCTAGTATTCTAATAATTGTAAGAGATACAAACAACATAAATGGCTCTTTTGCATGTAGGGTCTAACTGCAGTGGATATTACAGATGACTCTAGCATGATTGTAGGAGGCTTTGCTGATTCTACTGTCAGAGTGTGGTCGGTGACTCCGAAGAAGCTACGTAGTGTGAAAACAGCAGCAGGTAATGAAATGATGCATGCTCATCTTAAGAGCACATTAAGAGGACAATATTAAAGGAAGCTCTTCTCTATGCGAGTAGAGAAAGGTGTCTGCATCAGGAGAAATGTCTTCAGTGGTAGGATGTTGTTGCTTCATTAATTTTGGAAGAAGCGACATGTGCTCAAATGCATAATTGCATACTGTAGGTTTTGATTTTTTTTAAAAAAAGGTTTTTCAGTGCTAGATAGAGGGGGTAGAGGATGGAAGAAAATGTCAAGTATTTCACCACATGCACAGATTCATGAAAACCAGGTTTCTTTATTTCTGCTCTTATGAAACAGTGTGTTATGTTTGAAGCTAAACATCAAAYGAACACTTCTTACTCTTTATTTATAACTGGCATGTGATTGTGGTACTCAAACAGCAAACAGTAGCGTACAGACTAAAAGTTATTCTAAGTTGTGCATAGTGTGTCACTGTTAAAACGTGCCTGAACAGCAGGTGGATGACATATTAACTTTCTGAGAAAAGACATGAAAAATTGGCATCTCTATCAAGAAATCTGTTTGTTTAGAGATTGGATTGTATGCATGTGGAAAATAACGTACCAGGATTAATTTAGTCTCTACTCTTCACCAAGAGCTTAGAAAAAAGGGCTTATGTAAGGCATTGTTTTTACTTCATGTAGTGCTAAAAACACTTCTAAATGCCATTTTGAATTTCAGAATTACCAGTTCCCTGGTGCTGTATCTTGTTCACTTCATACTTGCCTTTTAAAAAGAATACTGTTTTGTTCTTATGCCATTTGTCTTTATTGAACTTCTGACTGTTGTCATGCCTGAACTTTGAAATGTTACAGACCTCAGTCTCATCGACAAAGAATCAGACGATGTCTTGGAGAGGATCATGGATGAGAAAACAGCAAGTGAGTTGAAGATTTTATATGGTCACAGTGGACCTGTCTATGGCACCAGCTTCAGTCCTGATAGGTAAAAATAAGTTTATGAGTTCCCTAGATAGCTTGTTCCAAGTCGTATGCTACTGCTATGAACATGTTGATTCATCTTTTTCCAGAAGGTTAAAGTGATTCTTGTGCATGCAGGTCAAAAGGAACTGCTAGGTGAGAGTGTAAGTGCTCAGTAAGCCCAGGGTGTTGGCCCTTGTCACCTGTCACTGAAATCAGTGAGAAGTCAAGGATGCCCAACAGTCGTCTTGAGATTTGGGACTTAAGTGGCAAAATAGACCATCTTAATGTCAAATTGCAGTTTAATCTGGGTTTTAACCAAGAGGGAAACTACTGCAGTGTTAATYTGACTTGTGATAATGCAAAACATAAGAATGGACTGAACACAACTTCTCTCTACACTTATTCAAGTTTCTTTTATGTCCTATAAACCTTTATTTTCAAAATGTATAGCATGATATCTTTGAAGTAGAGATTTAAAAAACATGAGGTAATTATGGGAGTCGGGACAGCAGAATATACATTTAGACAGCTAAAGTATTGCTCACATGCCTGTGGCTGCACAGGAAACAATCACAGAAGAAGCACATCTGGGAAGTAAACTCCKCATAGAATCTCAGCGGTTTGTTTAGCGTGTTCTTGTTTCAAGTAATAGTGTAACAGTGTAGTGGCCGTTCTTTCCATATAACTGGAATTCCTGATGCTGCTTTCCTTCCCCACTCCTACGCCTTTGCCCCAGTATTGCAATGTCATCAGAAATAGTTTCATCAACATCCAAAACTGTGCATTTTTAATTTTTTTACTAACTTTTTGGGGTTTTTTATTTTTTAAATATAAGGACATACAAATATAAACAAAATCACAAATATGATTCCTCTTGAACCTTACCTCACTAGAAGTGTTCATTTATATGTGGCAAGCAGAACAACTGCTGGTCAGTGGACAGTTTCTCTTTRTCATAGAGTTCATAGTATTTCTGTAGATATATAGATATACGTAGACCAAAAGTCTATGTGTAAGTTCSATCTATAACATACTTTACTTTCTCTTGTGATAGGAACTATCTCTTGTCCTGTTCTGAGGATGGCACTGTTAGATTATGGAGTCTCCAAACATTTACATGTTTGGTGGGATATAAAGGACACAACTATCCAGTATGGGATACACAGTTTTCTCCTTATGGATATTACTTTGTGTCAGGGGGACATGACCGAGTGGCTCGGTAAGAATCTGGATGACTTTTTTACTTTTAACTTTGTGGTGGATGCATCTTGAACGTGATTAGCTGATACTTTCTAGCCCTGTTTCTTGTTAGGAATGAATATTATTTCACATGAATTAATATATATATTTTGATGTAGTTTGCATTTCAACAAACTAAATGAAAACAAATGAGATAGTGCACTCTTATGTGTCCGTCTAATCATAAGTATTACCTTCCCATGGCTTAATGACCATGACAGTATATTCTTTTTCAGCTTCTGAAATGCATCCTTTTCCAAAGCAGTCATTGCTAATTTAGTAAAATGTCCAGTAAGAAACCACCACTTTGTTACTTTCTCTATTCCTCAATGTGCAACAGATCTCTAAATTCATTAAGGTTTTCTGTATTAATTTTTTCTTTCAAGTCTATGGGCAACAGATCACTACCAGCCTTTACGGATATTTGCTGGCCATCTGGCTGATGTGACGTGTACCCGATTTCATCCCAACTCTAACTATATTGCTACGGGCTCGGCGGACAGGACTGTGAGGCTCTGGGATGTTTTGAATGGAAACTGTGTGAGAATATTCACTGGGCATAAGGTAAAGGCAAATGACTCGCAGCATGAAAGTGAGATGCTGAAGAGCAGCACAAATACAGCTTGACTGAAGGTGAGTGGACCTCGTTAACTAATTCTGCCCAAATGTGTGTTTCAGGGACCAATTCATTCACTGGCATTTTCTCCCAATGGACGATTTCTGGCTACTGGAGCAACGGATGGAAGAGTTCTGCTGTGGGACATCGGGCACGGCTTGATGGTGGGAGAATTGAAAGGGCACACTGACACCATCTACGCACTGAGATTCAGTCGAGACGGGGAGATTTTGGCATCAGGTAAAGCCCACTGGAAACAGAGTCAAGATTTTTTTTTTCCCCTCTTTTTAGTATGGTTGTAATTAAGTGCAGTGAAAATCCTCAGTTAACCACAACCACAGGAATGAAAGCTAACAGATAAGGTATAGGTCTGATCCAGCCCACAGGCTCGTTTCTTCAATATATCTTTTAATGTTATAATGAGAACAGTTCTCTGGACCCATAATATGTTGCTGTCTTCCCTGTATGGAACAGAGAAACTGACATTTGTGGTGGGATCATAAACATGTCCTGAAATCAGCATTTAGATCCCAGGATAATTTTATTTCTCAGTGCTGATCAATGTAATCCAAATTCATATCCTTGGAGAAGGAATTCCCTTGGGCTTTATCCACAGCTTGCGTCTGAGGTTGAATGAGGGTGGCAATTCTGAGGACTATATAGGCGTTCAGTTACACTAGAGGCTCATTAGAGTGAGGAGGAGAGTCTAAGTATTCACTGCTACAAGCAAACCTTCTATGGACTCTAATTTTTTGTTAAATTTCTCCCCCAAAACTTTCTGTAAAGTCTAAGACCTTAAACTTGTTCTCCAATTTCCTCTTAGGTTCAATGGATAACACAGTTCGGCTGTGGGATGCTGTGAAAGCGTTTGAAGATTTAGAAACTGATGATTTTACTACTGCCACTGGACATATAAATTTACCTGAAAACTCTCAGGATTTGTTACTGGGCACCTACATGACCAAATCAACACCAGTGGTGCACCTCCATTTCACCCGCAGAAACTTGCTGCTAGCTGCAGGAGCCTATAGTTCACAGTAAATTGAAGCTGTAAGACTGACTGCCAAGTCATTGCAGTAATGACCTCAGGATTTGAGACGAGGAGGAATGTCTTGTATAGATGGTCCTCGATGGTTTGTTGCAGCAAGATAAAGCAAAACTGTGTAAACTAATGCAAACAGCATCTTCTCAGTTCTGCATTTTGTGTTCATCCACAATTTGGAAATACTGGAGATTGACAAGAGGTCGTGGCTTTGAAGGAAAGCATTGTTTCATGGTGCTTTTGATAAATATATATATATATATATATATATACACACACACAGATACATGAAAATGGCTGTCTCCTCTCAGAGATGGTATTGAGCTCTGCTGAAGCTTTTGGAAAGCTAACAGCCTCCATATGTGTTCTCAAACAGTTTTTTAAAGCACTTAATTTACGGTTGGCAAATGTTTACTCTTATCTCAAACATAGGCAAAAACTGTTCAGATACAATCAGAGAAGAATGTTRTGGAATTCACTGTAGCTCTGGGCCAGGCGACAGGTATGGGGGGTGAGAGCAACACTGCAACAAACAGGGCATTGAAAAAGTTGGCCCAACAGACAGAGGCTGTGGGAACTATGAGGAAGTTACAGGTTAGAGCTTTTATGTATCCAAGCACTAACTCCTGTAAAGATTTCAAGTTCCTGTGTTCATTTGAGATATTAGAAATGCAAATCTTGTCATTTTGTTTTCAGAGGTAGGCTACGTGCTTTATGTGATATGCAACTGGAAGTGAAACCTGAACACTTCGTTGTATAAARAGAAGGGTTTGAGGCATAACTGAAATATTTTTCTCTTAAAAACAGTGGTCTTGAACCCTTTTGCAGTGTATTAGAAAAGATCTAGAGAGATTTAAAAACCTGCTTCTTTTCTGCATGAGTTTTAATATATCAAATAGTAAATGTTGTGAAAAGCCAAGAAAATGAAACATTGAAGCGAAAAGATTAGTCAGTCCGAAGTGCAGAATCAGTTTGCTTTCGAAGATTTTCAAAGGTCGACTTGTCTGCTGAGGCAACAATTTCCACCCGCCAAAATGTTATCCCAGTTACCCCAGTAAGTGTTTCTGGAAAATCAGTAAAGCTCAGAATTTGACTTCTAAGGAAAACAAAACATKGGGAAGTTTAACTTCTGTATTTTTTAATAGAAGCAGCAGCACCAAAGGCCAGGTCCTGTTTCTGTCAAATCTTTTACAAGCTGTACAGGGGGAAATCTGTTTTGCATTCCTCCTGCTTCCAGTAAGAGTTTGGACACTTGTACGATCTGCTGCCTCTCCAGAGAAAATAAGAAAACTGAGACTGGACATTTCTAAGGTAAAGTGAACAGAGAACTACCTCCCCCTCCCTCCCTTTCTCTGCTTCTAATCCCTGAAGTAAAGGCATGTTACATGTCGAAATAAAGGGTGGAAAATGCATGAGGAAGCTCCCCTTGAAATCCTCTCTTTTAAGGAAAAGAAGGTTAAAAATAAATTTTAATGGGGGATTTTTTTTTTTATGTGTTATGGCTGAATTGTTAGTACTGGTATCTCAAAACTTAGTGTTTAATCTGAGCAGCTGGATTTACCACAGTTCTGGTGAATCAAACAAGTTACCTAAACCATACAGTTTTGACAGCTTAAAAAACCTGCCACGTTCTGCCTTTGTATTTTGTACAGTTTTATACTTTTGATATTATAATAAATACTAAAACCATTTAGTTTGTGTCTATAGACTTATGTATTGCAGGAAGGTGTTTTCTTCCCTGGATAGTTGCAACAGAAGCAAGAGCACCGCTGGTAAGTGTAAGCCCTCTGCTAAAGGAAACAATWATTTAGAAAAGGGTAACTGAGAACTTATGTTTAACTATTTAATAACATTTAGTTCTACCAGTGATGGCTTCTAGTAATGAGGTGCATTACACTRTTACAGCAACTATTTTATCTGTAAGATTGTATATAGTGCTATACAAACAAACCCATAGGGGAGGGTTTCTTTGAACTGCACTCAATTTTTCCCTGCTCTGTAACAGTTTATGCCCCTCTGCTGCTACTCTCAGCTTGGGAAGTAGTTCCTGTGCCTCAGCAGTCAGGCTCAACTGCTGCTGGCAGCTTTCCAGGCAGCTCCGTCTTACTTCATCCTATTCACACGGAAGGCAACACTCACTTCAGTGCTGGGCAGGGAGCAGTTAGCTGCATCCAGCTGTGGTGGACGTAGCTCACCCAGGGGTGGCCGCGTCTGGGTAAAAGAATCATCTGTCTCCTGAAGTTGGTTTGTGAACCTGCTGTCCCCATGTCCGCTCTCTGCCTCCACTTTCTCTGGTGCAACAAATCCAAGGGCCAGTGACTTTCTGCAATGCTTTAACACTCGCAGAAAGCTGTTTAGTGTCAAGGAATCGGAGTCTTGTTACAGGAATTTAAGCCTCCATTAAACATCTACAGCAATTGTAGGCTACTTTTTTTTTTTCCATATCTAATAATCCTGCAGCCTCTAACTGCATTATACAGCCTTATAGCCCCCAGCCTAAATGAATCTTTCCATGCATTGAACCACATCCCTTCACCCCATTAGATGGTCAGGACTGAATAGGAATAAAGGCCTTTGAACCTTAAGTGGAACTTTCTTATGCCTTTCATATGCACTTGGGCACGTTTGCACAGAAGGGGAAGACTGAGCTTGACTCCTATTAGCTACARCCTGCCTGTTTGGTACTTGTTTTGGTCTTGGCTAAGAAGCTTCCCTCCACACTGTCTCTTCCAGTCATCCAACTCRATAGTATTTATCTTTCACAGTCACCAGAAATGTGCAAAATGCCTTACTCCAATGCAGCACAGTATAGTTCAGATTGAACAGCTAACACACCATCCATTATAAGGCTTTAATATCAGCTAGAAATGAATCATTTTCCTTCTGGCAGTTATCTCTGCAAGAGACTTCTAACATAAAAAGCTAAATATCRTATTTAATAGTTCGACTCCAGCACCAAACCCTGCAGTTCACTGTTTTGGTCCTCTAACTTCCCACCCTCTCTCAGCAAAGGTAACTAAAGCAGTGCTGTGTGACTCTCWCAGTGCTCAGGAGACTGCACTAAATAACAGCTTCCTAATATCAATGTTACCTAAGTGATAAGCAAAAGAAATCAAGCGCCTCCATTTACTTATTCTTTTGTCCTCRGGAAATGAGGACATACACTACATTTTATCAGTCTATGTGGGAAGATTTTCCATCCAAAGCAAAGAGCCTCTGTAAAAGTCACTCAACACAGATAACCTGTTACAGGACACAAATCCTGTTAATGTGCATCAAGTTGCTGTGAGTGAAAGAACCAGTTTTCCCTTTAAGCTTTTAAAATGCTAGGAACCCAAAAGAGGGGAGCAATCAGGACAATCTGCAAACCTGTTGTTCAGTAAATTATTTGGGAATATGGAGATGCTTTGGCCAGCTGCAAGCTCTGTGCTTGGACATTCACGCTGTTGAGGTCTTTTGCTGCTAAGTGGTTGCTGGTGCTCAGGACCTTTTAAGGTGTGTCATAACAGCAAAAGTCAGGCGAGTCATGACAAGAATCAACTACTCTACTAAGGGAAAAAGCTAAATGTCACGATTCTTTTCTGTTGCACAGTTTCATATTTTAGATAAAACAAGGTGTTGTATATATTTTATTAGACTAGCCATAACAAGACATCGACTTCTGTTACAGTGACACAGATGGGAGGTTCAGTCATGCCAGCAACCTGCCAAAAGAAGAAAGATCAACCATAGCAAGTCGTGCATAGCAATATTARTAAGCAAGCACCTCTCTCCCTTAAGCCCAATTTGAGTTAAGAGCAAGTAAACTTGACCATACCCAAGACCAAAAAAAATCTTTTAACTTGCTACTAAGGTTATTGTTTTACAATTACTGCAGGTTGGAACAGATAACATTTTTTCCTCCAAAATGTCATTTCAGTAGGAATTTTGTATTTGAAAGCGGACTGTACTATTTGGCAGAGTTTTGCAACACTTGTTTGTTGCTATACCAGAACATAAAGTCTACTGAGCTCTATCAGGTTTGGCTGCACAGATGTTTTTACCATGCTCTACCTCACAAGTCAAATGCTTGTGTTAAGAAATACAAATATAACCACCCATCAGGCACAGTTCACCCTTGCAGGGATTCACTCTATTAGTCTGAGCACTCTTCTGTAAAGCCCTTCAGTAATAAAGCGTGCAGGGTGTACAATTTAGTTTTATGCTGCTCCTTTATTATGTTTAAAGCAAAGTTTGAAGAGAATCCATCAATCTGTTCTTGGAACTCTTTAATACTACTAATAAATTATTATTGTTGGGTCATCAATTATTACTTCTATACCCTATGAAGTGACAAGTTAGCCCTGTTTAACTGCAGAATGTCAGGCTAGAGGCACCTAACAGTTGCAGGAAAGGCTGACACACCTTGCTGTGACACCCTTCAATTACCCCTTTCTTGCTTCTTCTCTCTCTCTATTCCACAAGGGTAACAATCACCGTAATCCATAATGTCTATATCCCCTGCTAGGAACCTACTTTKAAAATACCCCAAAGCAAAATGACTTTGTATTACCATTTTAAGCCTCAACTGAGCCATCAAGTTCATGTACCTCTGCTTCTAACTCTAATCATATTTTGCTAGAAACTTGTCTTTTGTCACTCTTTCTTTTTGGACTAACATTGAATCTTTTTGGTCCTAGGGGAACAGCAGCCACTTACCATTCACTTCTCTGCCACTGCAGGAGTATTCTTCTTAGGCCTAARCTTGAAGTATAAGACGACCATTGCAATGCTCGCGTACGTCGCTAACACGTACTGAAAAACAGAAGTCTAGTTTTAGTTTAGATCCCCCCAGGCACGATTGCAGTACACTACGCACATTAAGCAGTACGTACGTTCCTCCTGCCTGTGATGGTGTAGGAATTGAAGTACTTCTGAAATCCGGTGAACTGGTGTTGCGATCCCGAGTCATGGCCTGCCATGGTCGCTTGTCCTGACGAGCAATAACGGTAAGTTGGGACAGGGTAAGTTGCTAATCCTATGAACTCTATGGTGACCTTAATGCTTCTGTTGTCAAATATTAAACTGCTGTCGGCAGACGCTGAGTAAACATAAGGGGTGGGCATATTCTGAGCGCTTTATCTGGAAATAAAGCGTCGCACAAGCAGCGGGAACGGAGACACAGCGGGGGTTATGGACAGGGGGGACATTTGAAATTACATAGACATAAAACGCATATATCTTGGTCTATACGATTGGGATAGCCTTCTGTTATTGGGCAAGCGGTGCAAAAGCAGCCCGGGGCAGCAGGAGCGACGAGGGCTTCGGGCCGCCCCCGCAGCGGCTCCCTCCGTCTCCCCAGAGCGCAGCCCGTCCATTGCGGGCTGCCCTTGAGCACCGCCCCGCCGCGCTCCCGCCGCAGCCAAGGGCCGGGCCTGGCTCCCCGGCGCCCTGGGGACGCGCCGGCCCTGCCCGCGCGGCGCCGCCGCTACCTGCGCCGCAACCGCCGCTCTCCGACCGCCGCCGCTCTGCCCTTCGCCGGCGCCCTCCCACAAAATGGCGGCCGCCAGCGCACCGCCCACTGGGCTGCGCCATTCCCCGGCGCCGCCGCGGGAAGCGCGGATTGGCTGCGCCGCCGAAGGGGCGGCCCTTCCCCGCCCTTTTCCCCTCCGGTTGGTCACTAATGCGCTCTTTGCTTCCGCTTGCCCTTTGCCCCGTGCACGTCGTTTCCGGGCGGCGCGGTGGCCGCACGTGCAGGTGAGGGCGGCCGGAGCGCCGGGGCGGCGGGAAGGCCCCGAGGCGGCGGGAAGGCCCCGAGGCGGCCCCGGTTACCGCCCTGCGGCAGAGCCCGCACCGCGGCGCCCCTCCGTGCTGTGACCGCTTGTTTCTAAAGCGTTTGATCCGCCGTTGGGGCTCTCCCGGCAGGCGGGAGCTCGGGGACCGCTGCCCCGGGGCCGTTACTCGCTCCGGGAAGTGTCTGGTTGATGACAGCGCTGTGGCTGAGTCTCCTTGTACGGGACTTCAGTTTATGTTTCCTCTTACCCGCCAAGGAAGCGAGCTGGTGCGGAATCCCCCCGCGAGGGCTGCGGAACTGCCGCAGTCATTCACGGAAACGGAGCCGTGACCTCGGCTCAATGTTGGCGGCCGCCTCGGGCAAACTAGGCTTAAGCAGAGCCGTTACGTTAAACACGGTCTTAATGCACCTGGCTTTAACAACAGCGTTATATCGACTCTTCAGGGCAGCACCATGAAAGTCAAGACGCAGACCAGGCTCCCCGTTATTTAAATTATAATTTTCTGCSTGAATGGTTAAAGCTGCTGGTTTTAGCTTGTCCATGCCATGTAGTAGGTGCATGTTTGGAGAATGCATATTGCTAAAGCATTTTTGTGTGTGTGTTTTTATGGTGCTTTAACTGCTTTTAAAAAGTGATACTTAAGTAAAATTAGACAATGGTAAAAAATATTAGGAATGCAAGTGTTTATATGGACCCTCACAATGCTTTGGTGTAGTCAAATATTAAACATGTTTGCGTGGGAGTTTGGGTTTTATTTGCGAAGTAGCTGTCTGAATTCTTCTTTAGTTTAGGGATAATTCACTTTTTTTTTTTTTTTTTTTTTTGGGGGGTGAGTGTTTGAGGATTGGTTATGATATCTTTATGCTCAATCTTTTCTTTTTTTTTTTCCCTTGCCCTATAGAAGTGCAAACATGGCATCTATGGAAGAAAACTTTCCCCGAGGTGGTACCCAGAAAAAACCCACAGAGGAAAAAGCAGCCAAACAGAAGATAGAGCAGGACAACTTGTTTGATGTATGTTGTTTTCATGTTCTTAATTAACTCTTAGAGTTGTTCTACTGTCAGAATATCACCTGAAATCTTTCCTGTCCCTGACTTCTTTACATTTATCTCAYATARTTTGTATTATTTGGACTTTGGGAARRTATCTGCTGCCATCCACTTCTCTTGTGACTCTCTAAAGGTCTTGAGTATCTGGCTCTGGTTTAGGGTGAATGTCTTGACAAAAAGCTCAATCAAAATGAGGCCTCAACACTGTAGCATTCCATAAGCTCCGCATCCCGAGTTACTTGCTGCTCTATTGCAGGATTGGACCCTTCCGTACAGCAATGCTGGAACAAGTTGCAAGTTGAACTGGAATTGTGTCTTTTTTTTTTTTTTTCCCTACCCATCTCCTTCAAGTTTTACCAAATAATCATCCTCAGCTCTAAAAGAGATATCTTGAAAAACTTGCATGTAGCAGAGTGGTTAGTAAGAATATTCTCCCTTTTCTACTATCCCAGCACATTTTCTCTAATTTTATTTTTAATTTTATTCCTAGCAGTGGAGTTCTTCCTTAGCATAATGTTCAGCTCTTTACTTCTGTTATTTTCCTGACTGATTTTAATCTGCTTTAGATCCATCATGAAGAAAAAACAAAAACACAGAAAAGAAAAAGAAGTCAAGTTGACCAAGGAAAGCAGAAGAAGAAGAAGCTCAAGCTGGACAAAAAAGACACTTCTAAAGACAAYACTGTCATTTTTGAACCGCTCACCATTGAGGTTTGTGGTTAAATGTTTGGTTTTCGGTGCTTCTGTCATTTACAAGAGAATGATGAACCAGGATCTTAAGTCTTTTAATAGCAACCTTAGTAGTTAGTTAATGGAAACTTGGAAGAGGTAATAGTCTCTGTGTTCTCAGGGTCTAGGTTAGTGTGCTAGAGCAAGAGTGGGATGTATATGATGGGCATGTTATAAGGCATCATTTGGAGCTTCTAGTGATTCTTAAATCTTTCAAGGGACCAAAAGCTTCTGCTTAATTCTGGATTGGGTTCTGGTGCCATGTGTGTCTTTGTGGGAACGCCACATCTAGTTTGGAAATAAAAATCTTATTTCAGAAATGTTCCATGACTTTTATGAATCGAATGCTGTGCTGAGAAGGGATGCATGGTTGCTACACCTGTGGCTGTTTCTCTTGAACACAGTGAGCCCACCAGATGCCATGAGCCCATGGTATCCACCCATTGGTGGGTTGGATTTGATTATGGTGTGAGTTAAGGTAGTAAATGCTGGTGAGCTCCTTTTTRGTCATCAAAAATGGAGCATGGGGTTTTTGGGAGAGATGAGTCTGTTCTAGCCCTGCTGGATATGTTACTGTTTTGTCTGTTTTCCCCTAGTAAAATGGGGAGGAATAGCTCTTGATCTGTACAGAGTGCATTATAAAGTACCAGGTGCAAGTATTATTTCAGCCTTTTTATTTGGGGGTTTGGCAGACAATGCATATTTTTTCTTGTTAAACGTGCAACTATAGCAGTGTTTCATGAGGAATTTGTAACTACCACACTGTTACCACTCACTTGCCAAAATGTTCACCAAATGCTGCTGCTCTTCCTGCTTTCCTAGGCACTCTGTGAAGGGATGCTACTTCTTGGTTGTGTGAAAGAGGTTAATGACTTTGAATTAGTCATCAGCTTGCCCAATGGACTGTGTGGCTTTGTCCCAGTGACACAGATCAGTGATACCTACAGCAAGATGCTGAGTGAGCAGGTGGCTGAAGGAGAGCTCCTGGAGGTGAGACCTTGGATCTGCACTGCGCTCTGTACCGGCAAGCTGGGACGGGGATTAATTTGATCCCAGAATCAACCCAAAGGTCTTGCTGAAGATTCTGGGTTTTATTGTCTCACAGCAGACTTCAGTTTGTCTGCAGTGGCAGGCAATGGTCCATGGTTTTGGCAGATGATCCATGAATTTAGTAGGCAGCCTGTTGAATGTGAAGAAATTTGTGTGTTTGCTGCTGTAGCTAAATATAGATTCCTGTCTCTGTGTGGCAAAGGATGGAAGTTGAAGTGTGTGGAAGATGATGTGGGGATGTGAGGTTGCTCAGTGGACCTTGGGGAGTAGTACAGTCCTTGAAATTACACTGTTGTGCTGCATGCTGTTAGGTAGTGCTATTTTAGACTGACCTTGGTTTGGACCATGCTTTTCCAAGCTGCTTTTATAACTTAATGGCAAYGTTCATTACTGGAAAAAAGAAGAGGGAGTAACGTCAGCCCATCTCTCCAGTGTTTACTTTACTTAGAAAGGTGGTGAGTAATGTGGGGTCTGTGCAAGCTACTAACCTCTTGTTGGTGGTGTTTCCCCCTGCTGAAGAGGKAGCTGAGATTAGGGTCACTCTTGGCTCTCTAGCTGTGCTTTGATCCTCAGCTACAAGCTTCAGACCACAGGCCCCACAGTGCTTTTATTAAACAAAACCTGCCAGCCGTATTAAAATCATGTAATTCCATCTCAGCCACTATACAGAAAAATGTGTTTTTTGCCTTTTTATTGTACTGTTGACACAGAAATAGAGCTTTCTGGGGGAGGGAGGGAATTTCAAACTCTGATGCTCTTGAATTATTTAATGTTGTTTCCTTATTCTCTTGATCATCTTGCTGGACAGGACTTGAACTCTCTCTCAGACATGTATTCACCAGGAACATTGGTCAGATGCATCGTGACCAGTGTCGAGAAAAGTGCTGATGGACGACGGAGCATTAAATTGTCAATCAACCCCAAGAAGGTCAACAAGGGTCTGACTGCTACAGCACTTGCAGCAGGCATGGTGCGTGTTCTGGTCTGCTGCAGCCTTCCTAGGCTTTGGAGGCTCCCCTTGCATAACCTGCCTTGTCGGGGCCCTTAGCTTAATTTTTTTTTCATGATTGAAGGCACATCTAATAAGAGCACCTGCTGTTGCTGAGCATTATTTTTTTTTCATATGTGTTTTTTCGACTGTTTCTTCACATTACTGAATTGCATTGTCTTTCTCCCAACAGCTGCTCACTGGCATAGTGTCTAGTGTGGAAGACCATGGTTACCTCATTGATATTGGAGTCAGAGGGACTAATGCATTCCTGCCTCGTCAGAAAGCCCAAAATTATATCAAACTAGCCAAGAAAGGTGAGAAACTGCTGGACTTAATTGGATTATGGCAATAACTGGAGCCTTTTGTGTGTGTGATATTGGTACACTTCAGCAAGATTGGGTCAAAGTGGAATCTTTGAGCTGCTGAAAACAGTAGTTTTTTGTCTGATGTGGAAGGCCATTAGGCTTCAGTCTATTTTCTGACAGTGTTCTTATTGCAAGCCCTTCTGTCCCTGCTTGCAGTAGACTTCACTTTGATGGAAAAAGTTCAGATGTGAAGACAGGGAACTTTGAAAAGGCCTGGGATAAGGCTGTAGGCAAAAGGGAACCCCTGAGTGTACCTAAAGGGGATTTTATCCTGTGTCTTGCTTTTGTAGGACCTGACTTGAAGATAGGCCAGAACGTGAACTGCCTCATTGTGGAAGTAAAGAATGAGGGAAGAATTGTCCGTTTGTCCATTGATCGGTCGGAAGTTGCTGCATCCCTCGCAACGGAGCGACAGAACTGGACACTCTCCAACTTACTGCCAGGGCTGGTGGTAAAAGCTCAAGTGCAGAAGGTTAGCACTGATTTTATGGGAACAAATGAAACGGAGATGGAAATTTGTACCCTGAGAGATTTTGTGCTTAATACTTTTTA